TCTTAAAAAAAAAAAAAATCACTGGGGCTGCCAGGTGGCATGGTGGTTAAGGGTGTCAGACTCCCACATGGCCAACCACAGTTCGAGTTCCAGACCTGGCAACTTGTTTTCTCATTTTCTCTTACTCTCTTTGTCCCTCTCTGGTTAAATACATAAATAAAGTTAAAATAAAAAGGAATCGCTGACTAAAATAATAGATTCAATTGGCTTAATATTTTGGTGTGAATCAATTTAACCTGCTTCATTAACGTTACTAGGCAAAAAAGCAGTGTCACTTAAACTAGTGTGTCTGGGAAATTTTGTTCCCCATATTGCTTTATGAGCCACACCAATTAAGCGTCTTTTCAAATAATGAGAGTTAAGATTCGACAGTACTATGTGTGAGGCACTATGGTAAATCACCACAGGGTGCATGGGCTCATCAGAGAGAGAGGGAGAGAGAAGAAAGATAGTGAGAGGGAAAATGAGAAATCAGCCCCCAGGGGCTAGCCATGCTACAATCCCTTCTCCTCCATTTTTCTCTTGGGATTTTGGGCAGTCATGCACATGTGCCCGGTGTGATTTTCTTTTCTTTTATTGTTTTTAGAGGTTTTTTGCCTTTGGGTGTGCATGCTTGCTGAAGAGAGAGACAGAGACAGAGACAGTGAGAAATTGTCCCCCCCAGGGGGTATGGCCACACTGCAATACCTATGCCTCCATTCTCCTTCTGGGACCTTGGGCACACACGCACAGACATGCACCTGGTGTGAGTTTTAAGCCACCAGATCCAGGTCTTGAACTGCATTTGGCCATGTGGGAGCCCAGCAGCATAACCATGATGCCATCTACTTGCCCCATAGCATGCTTTTTAAGCCTCCAGATTCAGAACTCGAACTGCTGTCAACCATGTGGGAGTTCAGCTCCTTAACCACTCCACCACCTGCTGGCCCCCAAAATCCACACTCTAACACACAAATGGATTTTCCAGATGCTGGACAATCTAAACAACATAAGAAAATATGCATAGTTTTACCCAAAGTAAGGGAGAGACATGCTGGTTGTCAGGAAAGTCACAAGGCATTTTTTGCATAGAAAAACATATTACAGAAAAATACATCATGACTTTCCTGGCAACCCAATAGCATGTGAAGGCCTATGCTTTGAGTTTTTTAATATGCTGCAAATTCAGTTAGGAAGATGTTTATTTTTCAGTATGCTACAAACTCAATAGAAAGACTGTAAGGCCCTCAATCCAAAGCCCATCTGATGCCAGACGTGGAAAAGTTATATGAAATTGCAGGTTTCTTACCCACAGTTAACATACTCCTAAGAAAAATCATATGAAGGTGAAGAGTAGTTGGAATCACCAATCCAATGGCAAAACAAATATTTGCTACATGAAAAACTAGGTGATGTATCTCTCTCCAGTTTTCACAAGTGGTCTCATTCGAAGGGATGATATTTTCTAATTCAGGCATTAAACCTACTGAAGCTGATTCTGCCAATGGGCTGGACTCTGTATAATTCATCTTGAAAATTCCTGTAAAAACAAATAAACAAAAGGATAATCATAATAATGGCCACTGCATTTCATCAACCTTATGGGTATTCCCCTAAAATTGTTTTTATAAATTAAATATTAGAAGACTTCTCTAGTGCTTATGAATTAGAGAAACGCAGGGTCAAATTCTTATGATTACACGAAATGAAATACATAAAACACTTAGCATAGTGCATAACTATTCCATGACGTATATCACATATATGTATGTGTATACATTTATATTTGTATATATGCATATATGTTTGGGATAGAGGAGTGAAGGAATTAACTAATCTAAAAGACAATCACCAGTGTTCATACACTACAATTACAAGGTTATTTAGTATACACAGGCTTCCATCATATTCTGACTGATGACATTGATTTTTTCAAATAATGATTTTTTTCGGGACCAGCAGATGGCATAATGGTTACGTCTCTGGACTCCCATGTAGTTGACTGCAGTTTGAGTCCCAGACACAACAGTTTAAAAACTCACGCCAGGTGCATGAGTGTGTGTGCCCAAAATCCTGAGAGGAGAATGGAGGAGAAGGGATTGTGCCATGGTCATCCCCCCCAGGGGGTGATTTCTTGCTTTCTGTCCCTCTCTGTCTCTCTGGTGAGCACATGCATCCTATAGCAAAAATCACTCTCTCTCTAAAAAAATAAAAGATAATAAAAACATTTTAATTAACACCCTCATATTTACTATTTGAATGCTTAGGATATTTAGAAAACTCTATTTTTTTTACTATGATTAAATCATTGGATCATACATATATACACATTATATTATCACATATACACATAATTCCTATAAACATTTACATTCCTATAAACATTTACAGTTATGCAGAGACAATGTTAATTTATACTCTCTTTTGTTGTCTAATTTAAATCTCTACTTTCACATTATAATTCTAGTTGGCAGTATCTCACAAATTAAAAAGTAGTAAACCTCAGGGCTGGCAGGTGGCATGCTGGTTAAGGGCGCTGGACTCTCACATGACTGACTATGGTTTGAGTCCCAGACACCTTGCTTTCTTACTTTCCCTCTCCCTTTTTCTCTCTCTCACTCTGTCCCTCTCTGGTCAAATTAAAATAAAACAAACAAATAAATAAATAAAGTGAAATAAAATAATTCTTAAAAAAATTAGTAAACCTCTACTTTACTTACATGTAGTAAGGGTCATGAATATATTGAGTTATCAGAAAAGTCATGACACACTTCTACATAGAAAAACATAGAATATATATTTTCTGACAATCCAATACATTTCACTATGTAATATTAAAATACAAAGCAAATACATCTCCAAGAATATATATTTTACACATGCTTATATAAAACTTAACACAAAGTGGCACTATTTCCTGACTATATTACCTATTCTTGGTCTCTGGTCCTTTAAAAAGTCCCTCTTTAAAAAAAAAAATAATTGCTATAGAGCACATGCACTCACTGGAGAGAAACAGAGAGAGAATATGAGAGAGACAGCAGGAAAGTGAGAAAGCACTCCCCAAGGAAGATGTCACGCCGAGATCCCTTCTCTTCCATTCTCCTTTCAGGATTTCGGGGCATGCATACGTATGTGCTCAGCATGTTTTCCAAGCTGCCAGGTCTGTGACTTGAACTACCCAGTCAGTTATGTGGTATCCACCTGACTCAACCACCATGCCACTGGCAGGCCCATAAAACTCTTTTATTATTATTTTTCTAGTTACAAAAAAAAAAAAAATTCTGGCCTCTTCCACCCAAGTGTCTGGGACCATAGGCACACCACCACACTTACCACAGCTCTCAGGGGGGGCTGGGAATCTAATCCAGGCCTCCCATGTGGCCTCGACCTCCTAAGCAGCAATGTCCATTACCTGCTCCCATAGCCAGGCCCATTCATTCAGTTTGCAACATACTAAAGTAAAGGCTTTAGGAGGTAAAATAATTGGTACTGGCTGGGCATTCTGTAAGAATGTTAACAGACAAATGTGAAAGAATTCCTTATCTCTTAAGATGGTAAAAAAAAAATACACAAAAATTTAAAAACTGAATGAAATGATCAAGTCAATTAAAGATCTCTTTACACATTTCTGAAATAGCTCATAAAGATAAGAGTAATAGTTGACTTGATACTATTTTGCTGCAAAATTAAACATAAAAATTCAATCATTTTCCAAATGTCTGATAGGTAAAAACACAAGCTCATCAGGAAGTGGGTAGAATCATGACATCAATGACTCCATTTATACAAAGTCTGCTTCTGAAGACCAAATCAAAACTAACCTCACAATTTCTACAGGAGACAAAATGATATTCAGTATCCTCTAGCCTCATATACTAATGGCAACTACCTCAGCATATGCGGGTTGTTAATAACTGCCATTTCTACAGCACCTATGAGTGTGCTCGCCCTTCCACTGTGCTGTGTGTTCTTCTAACCCCCCTGTGTCCCCTTGAGGCAGAGACAGTGTTTACTTGTCTCCGGATTTCCAAGGCCTACCCTCTATAGTGAAGGCCACTGAGGCAGAGATGAAAGTCATACCAAAGAGACATAAACTGGCCAGACACTGCTAGAAATCACTTTTCAGCCTTTCCAAGCCTCAGTAGTAAAGTCAGGTGTCTAGCCTTCCTGATGCTGACAGCGTCAGGTTCCATACCACAGCCACCAGGAAGGCACGTACGCTGAGAAAGTCACTTCTGCTCCTTGGATCTGGTTTTCCTTGGAACACCAGCAGCTGGACTAGATGGTCTTTCGAACTCCTTCAAGTTTTCATGGCCTGCGGTTCCAGGACACATTTATATAATGAGCTTATCGAGACAGATTCCTCCTTGTATCCACTGGATTATACCTGTACTGTCTACAAATCCACCGCAGTTCAATTCCCGGGTTTTAAAAGTTCTTAAACACACACTAAAAGTACTGATTTCTGGTCCAAGAAAAATGATAGGAAGACTACAATCTACTGACCCAGTATCACAAAATAATAACAGTAATTTTTAAGAGGTCAAATTGACCTGCAACCTATTTGATGCACCACACCTATTATGAAAGGCCAGTTTCCTATTGTCAATAAATACTGATCAGATCTGACTAGCTTCAGCTTACTTCAATGACCACTTACTGGATTTAAGTGGCCTACAATGAGTGAATGCAGAGAATGAACGGACCTAACAAGGAAGGTCAGATGAGTAAATCGACAAATTTTCATATTAATTTTTACAAAATCAAAAGAAATGACCTTTCTTTCATCGGATCCTCAAAGTCAAATTCCTTAAATAAAGTCCCGTTTACCTACCCCTTTACAAATGTGTGTGTACGGAGTTAAACAGCTAAATGGGGAAACTAACATTAACCCTTCACCAAACTGCAAAAATGGAGAAGATAACAGCAAGGAACAAACGTCGAGCTTTAGTAAACCTAACTCTTTAATTCTAACTCAACCTTTGCAGACCTTCCTGATGGCAAATGTCATTACGTTGCTAAGAGTCTTCTCGCACTTACACTTCAAAGCAGGCAGTTCCTGGGACTTAGCGGCCAGCAGCCGGTTTCCAGAAGGCTGGAGAACTAGGGCCCGGGCGAGGGGCAGGGACCACCGCCTTCGGCACTCCCCGGGCCCCGCTCACCACCCTCCGTAAAGAGCACGGGCCAGCGCCAAACGTTACGGAGCAGGAGCTCTCGGGTCTTGGGGGTGAGGAAGGAGCAGGGCGACCTGGCGTGTCCACCTCGCAGTGCCAGCGCGCCCCCGGGTGGGCGACACCACGGCCCCCCGCGCCGCAGCAGGCGGCCCCACAGCAGACGAGATGGAACCGTGAGGTGCTCCCGGGGGGCCCAGTGGAGAGAGAAGGCCGAGTTCCCCGAGGGTGAGAGCGGCATCCGATGGGCGGATCGCCGGGGACGCTGGCACTCAGATCCGAGCTGCGGCAGCTGTCACCCAAGGGTTTGTGGCCACCACGCCAAGACCCGGGGAGAAGGGCGACCTCCAAGGACAGGGAACCCGCGAGGAGGGGCCGAGGGCGGCGCTCCCGGCGGCCGGGGCGAGGAGGACCGGCAGGCGGCCGCCGGGCGGGG